TTGCTAGTGTGAAAGTTCAACCTGTATCCCAATTATTCAAAAAAGTTCTGTGACATTTTAACCATTTCATAGATAGTGACATGTCATAAGCATCAGCCTATTTCATCTCATGCATGATATGGATTCATTCTGTAGTTCAGCCACCACCTTTTAAAATGCGAGCCATGAGTAACAAGTTGAATCAGTGTCAATACCTTGGAATCTAGGAGATCTAAACCATGTTCTAAACCATGTTCACTATCTGTTAGAAACTTCCTGTGATTTAAGATGTCTAGGAGATTCCTGGAGATAGGTTGTAAAGCACTAGAAAGTTGCTATTTCTGTATAAATATTCTCTATTTGTGGCTGTAGGAATATTGAAGTCTTTCTAGTCCACTAGATCAAGTTTTAAGAAGAGATATCTGAACATCAGTTTTCAGACAGATTGTTGTTATTGATAAATCATGTAAGATGCTTTGCCATGACTAGTAGTCATACGGGTATGATTACTTTTAGTAGTAATTAAGATATATCAGAAAGTGTCAGCATTTGCATTAGTGACTGGAAGAATGTTGTGGCATCAATATTTGATTTGTAAAGATGATTTTTCAGTCTATAGCCAATAGTACCATCTATACTGAGATTGAATTATACTATTGGCTATTGACTGAAAAATCATCTTTACAAATCAAATATTGATGCCACAACATTCTTACTGAGAATACTGAATTTATACTGAGATTGGGACACAGGTGGCGCCATGGTCCAAACCACTAAGCCTCTTGAGCTTGCCAATCAGAAGGTTGGCAGTTCAAATACATGCAATGGGGTGAGCTCCTGTTGCTCTACCCCAGCTCCTGCCAACCTAGCAGCTTGAAAGCACGCCAGTGCAAGTAGATAAATAGGTACCGCTGTGGCGGGAAGGTAAACAACATTTCTGTGCACTATGGCACTTGTCACAGTGTTCTGTTGCACCAGAAGTGGTATAGTCCTGCTGGCCACATGACCCGGAAATCTGTCTGTGGACAAACGCCAGCTCCCTCGGCCTGAAAGCGAGATGAGCGCCGCACCCTATAGTTGCCTTTGACTGGACTTAACTGTCCAGGGGTCCTTTACCTTTTAACTTACTGAGATTATTATAATGTTATACTGAATTTATTACTATACCTCTACCAGGAATATTTTAGCTGTTAACTTGCTATAGTTTATTTCACTTAAAAATAAAATTATGACAGTATTGATATGGGTGAAGGTACACCAAAAGTTATACACCAAGATCAGACAGTGAGGATATGAGACAAATAGAAACCGAAATTCCATTCCCTCATCTGGGAGGGAATTCTCTAGGTATACCTTGGAGTATGTAGTCAGAAAGGGCCTCCACGTTGCTAGCAGCTGCTGGGGCTACAAGTGGGGAACCTACAGGTTTGAACTCTGCTACTTCCTGTAGCGAGCTACTCAGGGATGCAGATCAAAGGGCTATGTCTTTGGACTACAATTCCCATCATTTCTGACTGATGGCCATGCTACCTGAGGAGTCCAACAACATTGGGGAAGGATAGTAAGATATTAATAGAGCATCAGCTTTGCATGCAGAAGATTCAAACCCTGGCATCTCCAGGTAGAGCTAGGATTGTCCTCTCTCTGAAATCCTGGAGAGCCTCTGCCAGTCAGTGTAGACTGAGCTTGATAGACCAATGGTCACATTTGGTATAAGGCAGCTGCTTGGTAGACTCCCTTCAGGCCCTGGTGCCATGGATTCATGCCCCCTGGTATGCATCCTTGCTTGTTCCCTGGGCTGCCAATATTTCTGCATCCCAATTCCAAACAGATGTGTTTCGTTGGGGTAAGTTGTCGAAATATTTCTGGGCAAAATAAAAACAAAGAAACACAATGATACATTTACCATCCAGATCACCTGGAGTTTTAAAATGCATTTGTTGGAACCTCCCACAATGGACTATCAATCTGCTTGCATGAAAAGCATACATAGGCAACTAAGGTTGAACTTGCCTTAGAAAGGGAGGCATGTTTGAGAACATCCAGGCTTTCCATGACATGACGTGATTCCAGTACTTTGTTTTACCAAGCTTTTTGTTAATTTGAGATTGTGTTTAGTGTGTCTGTCACTATAAAGCACAACAACATTTAGGCTGTATGGCCATTTACCCAGGGGAAAGTTAGGGCCCTCAGATAAAGGTTAAGCATGGCAATCCTCTGGAATGCACTCTCCTTTGAAAATTAGCTTGATTTGAGTTGAATATGTATGCTTTTCATGCACAGAACTCAAAAATCCATTGTTGCAGGGTTTTCAAAGGAGTCCCCTTTTTTTTAACAACCTCCCACGGCTGAAGACTAAGCAGGAAACTACAGTACATCATTCATCAAACAATGTGGAACAAATTACACATGCCCTCATTAGCAATTACCTGAGAAACCTTCCTTCAGCCTACTTTACACAATAATGACAGCTAATAATGGGTTCCATGACATGGCTGACCTATGAATGACTTCACACAAAGCTGTTCAGTAACCTTTAAAAACATAATTATACCTGCCTTTCCAGTGTACACTATTATTTCAGTGAATGTGAAGCACACAGATCTTGCTATGCATGCCACTTGAATTGGTGGTTATCTTGAATTCTGATAAAACTCACAGTATGTCCACTATGCATAGGTTTGAGCCTCAGATCAGTAGAAGATGCATAGGCACTTCATACTTTCTAGACCTTGTCCAAAGTAGACAAGGATGGGACCTTGTCCAACATGATGATCAAGGATGGGACCTTGTCCAACAAGTCCAATATGATGATCAGTTAAGGAAAATGTAAATATAACAACTATAATTGAAGTAAATGTAGCAACTATAATTGAAAATATATATCTGCATTTGACACCAGTTAAGTGCAGTAATGACGTACAGTAGAACAGAAATGGGAGACCCATGTGGCTGCTGGACTTCAGCTCCTGTCATCCATGGCCTTTGATAGCTTTGGCTGGGGCTGATGAGAGGTGGAGCCCCACATCATCTGATGAAGCACATGTTTTTCTACCCATGGTATATAGAGCAATGGGGATATCATCAATGCAAAGGCAAAGGAACATAAGATCCCTGGAACCTCAGACCAAAGTCTGCAAAGCCCAGCATTCTTTCTTCAAGCAGGCCTATCATGCGAATCTCACATTCAGATGTGTAACTAGGGGTTGGTGAAACTGGAGCCCAGTGGTAGTAGAGGCCCAGTGTGTGCACGCGTGCGTGCGCATGTGTGCACACACACAAACAAAAATAACCCCACCTCTCAGACAATGGAGAGTATGTGCTGCTGCTGTCACTGTGAGAGAAGCTTCCCGTCTCGCACCTTGGCACAAAGGCTTGCAAAAAATAAATTAAAATGCCCTTCTTTCTTGCCTTGCCCTTACTCCAGATGTTTCAAGTACTTGGGTTGCATAAAGTGTGTTCTCCCTTATGGAGAGCACAGGTTGCGGGCGGGGCTGACAAGACACCTCACTGTTACTAGGCAAATGGTTTGGCCATCCTGTAAGCAGGGGCTGGCTGTTACTGGGGAAATTTAGATGTTGCCAATTAGTGACTGACAGCCCTATTTGTTAAATATAAGGCACGCAGCAACGGACGTCCTCTTTCGCTGCATGCTTCGGATCACCCGCCCTCCCTTCCCTAATGTTAGGCTGTTTGCTTGACCTTGCTATTGCCTGTCATGGGGTCGTCTGCTTTGGGGCAGGGGCCCGGTAGGAATTTTGCCATTTGGCTGATTAGTGTGTGCCACTTGGTTTTCGCCTACCGCGTAGCAAATCGTTACAACTTGTAAGGTTTGCGGTTAGGCATTGGTCTGGAATTGGTTGCTGGGGGGTATGGATTCGGCTGTGCCTGCCCCCCAAAATGCTGCTGTTGGTGGAGGGGTATGGATTCGGCTGTGCCTGCCCCTCCAAAATGCTGCTTCTGCTGCTGCTTAAGGGTTTTACCGTTAAAGGAACCCAGGGGCTCCCCATGCTTTTGTCCGAAACCCCCTGGCAAGGGGCTAGGGCCACGCAAGCCCCTGGAAGCAATCTGGGGAGAGGTGAGGCATGGTTCCCAGTCCCGTCTCTCTCCCCAGGTGACTTACCCTTCCTGACTTCACATTGCTGTATTTGAATAAAGTTGTGGCCAAAATTATGCCAAAAACCTTAAAGAAAAATTAAGTGTCAATTGTGTTTTTCTTTGGGGAGGGGTGTCTTGGGGACATTGACGCACAAAATATAGTAGTTTGTAATGTGGCTATTGCAGTAAATATTTTTTTTTCTGGGGGGAAGCCCAACCAATACAGCTCCCTGTGAAGGGTGCAAGGGACACTGGGTATACCTCTGTCCACATATAGGACATGAGCACAATAGCTCTCTTGTGGTCCTTTACAACTGGTATTCAGAGTGACACTGCCTCTGATACTGAAGGTAATATAGCCATCATCACTAGTAGCCACTGACAAGCAGGTAAAGTGGTAGAAGTCCAAAATGTACTTTAACACATGAGAACACTCCAATGTATTAAATTCCCTTTGCTGGTCCTGGAACACACGACACAAAAATATCAGTTTTGATCAGAGAGTGCAAGTAATCTGATGAGTCTCTTGAAGGACTTCAAAGAATGTAATTTCAAAATGTTGTGATGCAGTATCAAAAGAACACGGAATGTGTGCTCCCCCAGCCTTATATTTAGAACCAAACTTCATTTGCTTTTTCAATCAGCCAGCCTGACATTCCTTCTCCAGCTAAACCCAGCAGTGTGAGCATATGCCCCAGTCTCCCCCATCCACATGCACACTATTCATTCCTCTTAAAAGGCTTTTAACAAGGCCTACACTTAAATATTCTCTTTTTGGATCCAGTAGGAGCCTTCAAAGCCGATTATCTTGAAAAGGCTATATGAATCTATAGTGAAATATTTATGGTAACTTGTCACCAGCACCTTCATATTGCAATATTTCTTTTTGTTGTCCATCCTTCTTCCTCTGCTTAATGACAGTATTCCAGTAGTAGTGAAGAAGTCCATATGCTGGTAATGATGCTCCACTATCCATGTGATTGGGATATAAGATGGTTCCTGTCATTTTCCTTTCACTCAAAGATGAAGGTGGGTAAAAAGGACTGTCTACTTAAGTATTTATAGGCAGTGTTTATTTTTCCACAACAACAGTGATAACAGCCTGACACATGCCAGGAATATTATTGAAGCAAATTTGCACATTATCTAGAATGGGAAAAAATTATACTGAATAATTCATCTTGCTCTAGCCAGTGGTGTGGCGCTTTGGAGTAATTATTGTGTATAATGACATCACTTATCCTCCTTTCTACAAAGTGGGCTGTATGCAACATTGTCTACTAGTGGAAGGGATCTTGTGCTAGTGATGGGTAAATTTTGATGTTTAAATGTTGCACAACAGAGGAATCAAATACAATGGTCGCACAAGCAGAAACTTGTTGAGCAACAGATTGCACAATCTAATGTGCAACAAAGTAATCAGCAACCTGCTTATGCATTTGTGTGTGTGTGTGCGTGCGTGTGCAACAATGACGTTCTACTTGTGCAAAACATTTTACTAGCAGGATCGGTTTACCGCTCTGTGACTTTAACTTAGTGCTTCATTGGATTCCACCTCTGAAATGTAACTTATGTCCTTGTTATTTGCAGTGATTTTAGCACAACCCTTGAGAAAAAAACTTGAATAAATGGTGGGCTTTCTGTAGGGTGAAGTGTTGTCATGATTCAGTAAATAAATAACAGAAATGGCCATTTCCATTGGTCTGCCTCCACATGGGTGATCTCACTATGCAGTATGTTGGGATGCTCCTAAGTAAATTATTGTGAAGTCAAACCATTTTCTTACATTATTTCAGCACAGAGTTTGAGCAACTGCACAGGAACAAGTTCGGACTGAGTAAAGTATTTTCTGGGGAACATTTTCAGTGTAGGGCGGGGAAAAGAGTTTTTATGGACTTGGGTGAGGGCAAAGTGTTTCTTCAAAGATAATAAAAAGTGTACACTTTCATGACTGTTCACTAATATTTACAGCTTTCTCAGCTAAATGCTTCCATACCGTATTTTAAAATTTTAACTTCCGTCCTCTTTGTAGAAACAACGACATTGTCACATATAATAACTATTGGCCATGTGATGATGTCACATTGTAAAAAGCAAAGTGAATCGAGAGCAGGGGCAAGAAGAATGATGGTTTGAAGTAAAAACTGAGTTGAAGTAAAAAGAGAATTCCAAAGGAGGTCGCAAAATGAGGTCTGGCTATGTGACGATGTCACAGAAGGGGGAAATTAAGGTACATAAGAGTGAAGGCAAAAAGAGTGCCACTTTGAAGGAGCCGGGCAAAAGCTGCCACCAGCTGATTTACAGAGATAATTGCAATAGAGCTCAAAGCAGAGCATGATAGTGAGGTACACGGAAGGTCTTAGTTTTCCTGAACATCTCTCGGGGGCATCTTCTCTTTTCTCTGCTCCCCACTGCAACAACCATAAAAAGCTTTTTTTTAAGGTGCTGATTAGGAATATAAAGCCATAATGGAATGGTTATTATTGGACCTCTTAGCACACAATTCTTTCATAATTTCATCTCTTTTACTCAATGATGCCAGAGAGAGAGAGAGAGAGAGATTGAGAGAGAGACTTAACTCAAAGCTAAATATATGCTTTTGGGCAGCACTCGTGGCTTTGCTGAAAGCCACTTTCCCTTATTGTGAACTTGACTGAAACACAATGGTGAGTGACTGTTCTGCTTTTCTTACTAGGTCTAAATTGAGCCGCTTCTGAAATAAGCAAGAAGAGAATGTCAAGTCTTAAGTGAAAGCAAGTCCCTGAAGAGTGATTTGAAGGTATAGTCTGCTATTAGAGGAAGCCAGATATTAGACATAATAGTAGAGATACCTTTTGAAAGTCTAGGAATGTCTCAATATTTGTGTGCATGTGTGTTGAAGAAAAGTAGAGTTTTTGAAAGGGTTGCACATAATGGGTTGATCTCAGTGAAAAATGTGGGGGCGGGGGACGATGACACACCGGCTAGAATTACCTGGAGGCCTTTGCAGAATCTGTTTCTTGTCACATCTGCTCTTGAAATTCCCATATCTCCCAGCATAAAAAAAAAAAAGTTCCATCTGGGTTTCTTCGAGTTTGCCCAGTAGAACCCCAGATCATGTTTTAATCTTTAATCAATAGTGTATCTTGCCTTCTGGGGGTGTGAATCAGATGTGCAAACTGCAAATGCAGCAAGAACAGCTGCTGGGAGGCTTGGCTAGTTTTGGATAAGAGCAGCGAAGAAGTCTTTGCTTCCTGGGAGAAGTTATTTCTCCATTAACTGAATGTTACTCAGAGCTTTCATATGCTTGATGGTACCTTTCTGAGTAGGTCCTTCCTTCCTTCCTTCCTTCCTTCCTTCCTTCCTTCCTTCCTTCCTTCCATCTCTCTCGCTCTCTCTTTTTTTGTGTGTGCATATGAGAGAGAGAGAGAGAGTGCAAAAATGGAAATATTTCAGAGGGAGGGGGTATTGTTTGAAGTTTCTTGATTATTTCACTCAAGTGAATGACCACATTTGCCTCTGTTTTAACTGTAGCTCTTGATATTATTTTGGTTTTTAACCAGGGCCACATTCCCTTTCAGGCAATCTTCAAACAGCCACCAAACAAACAAACAAATAAATTTGTGTACCTGTATTCATCTGTAGTTCTCAGGGTGGTTCATAGCATATAAATAAGAGATAAAAACACAAAATAAATGCCTGTACACTAGTGGGTGGGGCCGAGGCAAAAGGGGGTGGGACTACTAACATAGATCTTAATATGTATTGGAGGCTAATTTCTGCACATGCTTACTCACTCTTCTCTGTCCTCCATCCAGACAAGTAAGAGGCCTAAATCAGACTTCCAGGACACCTTTCAGTCAGGCAAACATAATCAGGAACATATATTCCTTTGATAATGGAATAGCTCCCACAGAACTTACAAGTGCACCTCCACAAATTTGCTTTAGGGGGTGATTTTAGTAACAATTTTAACATACTGTGGAGGAGTCATATGTAGTGGCTGCATTGAAATGAGCACTATTGTGCTCATGCCCAACTTGTGGGCTTCCCATAGGCATCTAGGTGGCCGTTGTTGAAACAGAATGCTGAACCAGATCGGTCTCTAGTCTGATCAGGCAGGGATCTTTTCTTATGTTTTGTAAATCATCATATTATTGCCATCAAAATGTAACCAACCATGCACAACCCTGTTATGGAGAAGCATCATTTGAACTCTTTGGGCATCTTTTCTTCATGAGAATAGGGAAACTGTTGTTGGAACTCACTCTAAAGTGTGCATTATGTCAGTGTAAAGCAGCCTAACTGGCTTCAGTGCCAGCCCATTGCTTTACTTTGAGCCATGTCTTACCAACAATCTCTTTCCAGGAATTGTGCTTGTCCCCATAAAGTCAAAGAATTCAAGAGAAGCAAAGAAGGGGGTGCTGGATACTGCCGCTTCTGTTGGAAAAGGGGTGTGGTTTAAACAGCCTGGTCACCACGCCCCTTCCCAGTGTCCCCTGCTCCTTTCCCTGCAAGGGTTCAGGTGAGTGCAAAACGCCTCGGGGTGCAGCAATCTTTGGGGAGGGGCTGGGGGGAGGATGCAATGCTAGGGAACACACACACACACACACACACACACACACACACACAAGTTGTGCCAATATCTGTGAAGGCCACACCAGAAACCCAAAGGGGCAGGAGGGGGACATTTTTCAGCCCAGTGGTTACATTTCCCTCCACACAACACTAGTCCAATAGACAAATGAACAGAGCAATGAAAGCAAGCCTTTGCACAGGAAGCTGTTGAAGGAATGACATGCAGAGAGAAAGTTAGCATCTCAGGAAAAAAACACTTTTTCATCAGTCAATCAATCAATCAATCAATCAATCAATCAATCATTTATTGTAGTTGACTAAAACCCATTATAAATCCAGTTACAAAAGCACCAAACCCAATGACCCAAACTATGGCTCCCAGATTCTTGGGGCGGGGGGGAGCCAGGTGGATGCCATGTGAACTCAGTGATGTGTCAAGTGATGGCGACATACTACCTCCAGGTTCAGAGGCGGCATATTTCTGCATATCAGTTCCTGAGAATCACGAGGGCTATTGTGGTCAGATTCTGCTTGCAGTTTTTGCACAGGCATCTGTGAGAATGGGATGCTGAACTTGGGCCACTGGCCTGATCCTGGCAGCTTTCTTATGTTACAAAGGAAGACTTCCAAGAGAATACTTTTAATGCAGCACTCCAAGAAATGCTGCAAGTTTCAGAAAGTCACATAATGCACTCCAAAAACAGAAATTTTGAAACCATTTCAGCACTGTGTCATTTTTCTATTTTTCTGCATCTCTTATCTGAACTATGTACTTGCAGTTTCTTTGAGTATGTTTTTTCCAATTTATTTTTATTTGGTAGCCATTTCTCCCTTTCCGAGGAAGGAACAAAAACATTTGAAGACTCAGTGTCCCTGACTTAAGGGTCTGACTCCTCTGCCCTGCCTGCCAAGCGCTCACTGGCTGGTGTGCCTTTCACTGTAGGGAGATCAGAAGAGGACCGCTACATTGGCAGAAGCCTAAGCAGCCACGAGCTTGCTATTCAGACACAAGGATATTGTTTTAGTCATTTATTCTTATTTTTAATTACTTGGCACCACAGGCAGCTCTCTCAAAAAATGGCAAAGGCTACAATCCCACCTACATGGGAGGAAGCCCCACTGAATTCAGTAGGACCTACTTCCAAGTAGACATGGGTGCAGCAGTGCTGCAAGGATCTCTCTTGGAAGTCCCAGTAAATAAACTGCCACAGCGGCCGGATTAAACTGACTTGTGCAAAAACTGCAAGGTTAGGATTAGGGGTAGGGGTAGTGGTAGGGGTAGGTTTTTTTAGGGTTGAATTTGTTGAGGGTTTGTTTTTTTAGGATTTTACCCCAGGAAATAAATAAACTGCCACAGGGGCCGGATTAAACTGACCAGTAGGCTGGATTAGGCCCCCAAAACGGACGTTGGACATGCCTGATATGCGCTTAGTCAAGCGTCATTATCTTTAGTGGGCTTAGTTGTGACTTACTCCAGAATAAATAGGAGAGAAAAGAAAGGAATTGTGTTTTGAGATCTGATCATGAGCAGATCTTTATTTCTGAGAGGCAGCATTTATATTAATGCTTGGAGAATTGACATTTACGTGGGGAGGCTCATTGAGGTTGCTATCACCCATCTGTGACATAAGAAGACATATTTCTTGAAAGCTTAAGTAAGAGGTGCCAAGGTTCCCACTTGACCTCTGATCAGGATGCTCTTTTCTATATTCTTAGATGCTTGGTAACTGTGGATCATCAAGTCAATTTCCAAGGGAAAGAAAGTGGTCACGTGTTCAGTTATGGAAAACTTAATAAATATTTCATACAAAAATAAATAAAATAAATACTCAATGACCTGCCTTTCAAGTAAGTGGAAATGAAGCAGCTGGTTGCCATGGTGAAATTATGATGACCCTGTCACTCTGTAGTCTCACTGCTGAAGTCATAAGTCAGATTCAAGGGGGGGGGGTTGCCCCCAAGGCCCTGCCTACCAGTTAACAGTCACCTAACGTTTTCCAGTAAAACATGAAATGGTGCACACGCTACATCTTGTTTGTGCGCTTATCAGGCATGTCCAAAGTCCATTTGGGGGGCATAATCCAGCCCACCGGTCAGTTTAATCCGTCCCCTGTGGCAGTTTATTTATTTCCTGGGGTAAAATCCTAAAAAAACAAACCCTCAACCCTAAAAAAAGGTTAAGAACTTGGGTTGGCTGTTTCGGCGGCCCTCACGGCCCTTCACTTCATCAAATCTGGCCCTCTTTGAAAAAAGGTTGGACAGGGTTACAGTCAAAGAGTTCAAGAGTAGCAGAGAAGGGGGTGCTGGATGTCCGGAGTTTCTTTCTTTTCTTTTTTTTTAATTGATTTTAATTCATTTTGCTACATCAAACATTAAAACAAACGAAATAAACATACATAACACATACATACAAAAAAGAAATACATAAAAAAGAGAAATAATAATAAAGAAAACAAAAGAAAAAGCATCTAAAATAAGATACCAACAAATTAGGTTACATTTACTAAATAACACACAACACTAATTGACTTCCCTTCATCTCGGTTTCAGAATATATTATATGATTTTTTTATCTGCAGTTTCTTTTCCTCAAAAAACTCTTTACATCACAAGTGTTATGTCACACCTACTGTGATTTTTAGATTTTTTACCTCTGTTTCCATGTATGTCATAAATTTATTCCATTCTTTGTTAAACTTTATGTCTTTTTGATTTCTTATTTTCTGTGTCATTTTTGCCAATTCTAGATAATCAAATAGTTTGGATTGCCACTCGTTTATAGTTGGGATTTTTGATGTCTTCCAATTCTGCGCTATTAGAGTTCTAGCAACTACTGTCGCGTACTGAAAGAGTGTTTGATCTTCCTTTTTGATTTCCTCTCCAATTATCCCCAGGAAAAAGGCTTCGGGTTTTTTTTTTATAAAGGTATATTTAAAGATTTTGTTTAGTTCATTGTAAATAGATTCCCAGAATTTTTGATAGGCTCACACAACCACCGCATATGATAAAAATCGCCCTCCTTGATCTTACACTTCCAACATAATTTATCACCAGTTTTATATATTTTTTCCAATTTTACGGGCGTTACGTACCACCTGTACATCATTTTATACATATTTTCCCTGAGTGTTGTGCATGCCGAGAATCTCATACCTTTGTTCCATAATGCCTTCCATTTGTCAAACTCTATATTATGTCCAAAGTCCATTGCCTATCTCACCATTACCTCCTTTACTTCTTCATCCTTGGTGTCCCATTCAAGTAATAGGCTGTACATTTTCGATAGGAGTTTTGTTTTATTTTCTAATATTTCAATCTGGAATCTAGATTTTTTCTCACTTATCCCATTCTTTTTATCTTCAGTCCATATAGAATTAATTTGGTGAAATTGGATCCATCCTGTCAATTTGTTCTTTATTTCTTCATAAGGCCTAATCCTCCAACCAGTCTCTGTTTTTACTAGCAAGTCTTCATAGGTCCATCTTTCTCCTTCAATGTTTGTTTTTTTTATTGTCAGGATATCAACTGGCGATAGCCACCAAGGGGTCTTCTGTTCCAACAATTTTTTGTTTCTTTCCCACACTTCCAGCAGTGGTCCTCTAAAAATGTGGTTAGAAAAACCTTTATGAACCTTTCCCTTGTTACGCCATAGGTAAGCGTGCCAACCAAATCTTATATTAAATCCTTCTAGATCTAACAGGTCTTTATTTTTAATAACAATCCAATCTTTGACCCAACAAAGACACGAGGCTTCGTAATACAACTTTAAATTTGGAACTGCGAATCCTCCCCTATCTCTTTGATCTGTAAGTAATTTGAATCTAATTCTGGGCCTTTTCCCTTGCCAGATAAATTTAGAGAGTATTTTCTGCCAATCTTTGAATACTGAGGTTCCCCTGATTATTGGTATATTTTGGAATAGGAATAACAGTTTCGGTAGTAAACTCATTTTAATCGCCGCCATTCTGCCCGACCAAGAAAGTTTTATTCTATTCCAAGTATCTAAGTCCTTCCTTATTTCTTTCCATGTGGTTATGTAATTATCTTCCATCAAATTTATATTCTTCATCGTTAACCAGATTCCAAGGTATTTTACTTTTTAGTTACTTTAATACCAGTTTGAGATTCAAGATGGTTTTTTACCTCCTCTTTCACATTTTTAGTCATCATTTTAGTTTTTGTTCTATTTAATTTAAAACCAGATAATTTTCCAAATTCTTCTAACAAATCTAACACCTTACTAACACTCTCTTTTGGATCCTCCAAAGACAACATAAGATCGTCAGCATATGCTTTCAATTTGTATTCTTTCACTCCAATTTTTATTCTGCGAAAGCATAAGTTCCAGCAGGATCAGCTCCATCAAACAGTACCAAACGAAAAAAAGGAAGCCCCACATCCAACTGGTGCCTGGCCTCTCACGTGTGATAGTGAGGACTCCGCTTGGGAGGAAGAACTCTCGCTGATAAAGCGTTTCTGGTCACTGCATTCTCCAGCCCAAACTGAGATCTTGAAAAGACTTGATATACTTCGAAGCAGATTAGTAAAAAAGGATGACCAAGGTGAGACAATGAAGGACCCTTATGTGCAGCCCATATCTCCCAAATGTCTAGTGGATAAGAAGACAGTGGGAGGCACCTTTAAATGTGTAGACGTGGAATTACAATCTGAGCCCCCTGTGATGTATAATAAAGTAAATCCAAATCAATGTGTGAAATCTCAAAGCTCCTGGCATAGCTACCTTAAACTGTCTCCGAATGAATTAGCCTCCCCCCCTAATCCAAAACCTAGCCCCAAATCACCAAGAAGAGAGGATCACTACACTCTCTCCAAG